CAAACAAGCATATCAGAAAGTTGTCAAAAGGAAGGAATTTGATGGTCAAACATGAAAGCAAGCAAATTGTAAACACAGAAACTTTTTATAATAAAAATAAATAATAATTAACATTTATTGTGCAGAGCACTGATTCAGTATTACTGTCCTCACTTTACAAATGAGAAGACTGAGATCCACAAAGTTTTTTGCCAAGGGCACCAAACTGGAAAGTCCCTGAGTGGGTAGGTGTTGGACTACGTTGTGTCTGCTAACATCTCCCAAAATGTCCTCTCTAAGACACTAATATGTCAAATGCAAAAGACTAAGTTAAACAAACATAAAAAGGTTGCTTTATGGCAAGACTTCTTAGGGTTTCTGATATGTCATTATATATTTTTTAACTTCCAGATATGCATTGTTCCCCAAATTTACTTGACCATGGAATTCTTTCATGAATTATCTTGTAGAGCTTATGTTCTGAAGAATGCCTTTGTTTATTCACTCTCCTGAAAATCTAAGCCACATGTGTCAAACAAAGAATTTATATCTGGGATCCATAGAACCTTTATTTCAAGGAATCTATGGTATTTAAAAAAAATTAAGGTATCATTGATATACAATTTTATGAAGGTTTCACATTAACCAGCATTGTGGTTACAACATTCATGCATATTATCAAGTCCTCCTCACACACCCCTCTACAGTCACTCTCTATCAGTGTAGTAAGATGCTATAGCGTCACTACTTGTTCTTTCCATGATGTACTGCCTTCCCTGAGACCTACCTATATTGTGAACGCTGATTATAATTCCCCTTAATCCCCTTCTCCCTCCCTCCCCACCCCTTTCCCTTTGGTAACTGCTAGTCCCTTCTTGGGGCTTATGAGTCTGCTGCTGTTTTGTTTCTTCAGTTTTGCTTTGTTGTTATACTCCATAAATGAGAGAAATCATTTGGTACTTGTCTTTTTCCACCTGGGTTATTTTACTGAGCATAATACCCTCTAGCTCCATTCATGTTGTTGCAAAAGGTAGAATTTTTCTTTTTATGGCTGAATAATATTCCACTGTATATATGTACCACATCTTCTTTATCCATTCATCCAGTGATGGACACTTAAGTTGCTTCCATATCTTGGCCATTGTAAATATGGTTGTGATAAACATAGGGGTGCATATGTCTTTTTGAATCAGAGATTTTGTTTTCTTTAGGTAAAGTCCTAGGAGTGGAATTCCTGGGTCGAATGGTGTTTCTATTTTTATTTTTTTGAGGAACCTCCATATTGCTTTCCACAATGGTTGAACTAATTTGCATTCCCATCAACAGTGGAGGAGGGTTCCCCTTTCTCCACATCCCTGCCAGCATTTGTTGTTTCTTGTCTTTTGGATGTTGACCATCCTAACTGGTGGGAGGTGATATCTCACTGTGGTTTTAATTTGCATTTCCCTGATAATTAGCAATGTGGAGCATCTTTTCGTGTGCCTGTTGGCCATCTGAATTTCTTCTGTGGAGAATTGTCTGTTCAGATCCTCCACCCATTTTTTAGTAAGATTTTTTTTTTTGGGTGTTGAGGCTTGTGAGCTCTTTATATATTTTGGATGTTAACCCCTTATCAATTAGTCTTTATGAATTTATTCTCCCATACTATAGGATGCCTTTTGTTCTGCTGATGCTGTCCTTTGCTGTACAGAAGCTTTTTAGTTTGATGTAGTCTCATTTGTTTATTTTTGCTTTCACTTCCCTTGCCTAAGGAGATGCATACAGGAAAAAGTTGCTCATGTTTATATTCAAGAGATTTTTGTCTATGTTTTATTCTATGAGTTTTATGGTTTCCTGACTTACATGCAGGTCTTTGATCCATTTTGAGTTTACTTTTGTGTATGGAGTTAGACAGTAATCCAGTTTCATTCTCTTACATGTAGCTGTCCAGTTTTGCCAGCACCATTTGTTGAAGAGTCTCTTTTCCCCATTAAATATTCATGGCTTCTTTATTGTATATTAATCGGCCATATATGTGTGGGTTTAAATCTGGGCTCTCTATTCTGTTCCATTGATCTTTGGGTCTATTTTTATGTCAGTACCAAACTGTCTTGATTACTGTGACATTGTAGTAGAGCTTGAAGTTAGGGAGCATAATACACCCCCAGCTTTGTTATTCCTTCTCAGGATTGCTTTGGCTATTCAGGGTCTTTTGTGGTTTCATATGAATCTTAGAACTATTTGTTCTAGTTCATTTGAAGAATTCTGTTGGTATTTTGGTAGGGATTAGATTGCCTTAGGCAGGATGGCCATTTTGACAATATTAATTTTTCCTAACCATGAGCATGGATGTGTTTCCATTTATTGGTATTTTCTTTAATTTCTGTCATGAGTGTCTTATAGTTTTCAGGGTATAGGTCTTTCACTTCCTTGGTTAGGTTTATTCCTAGGTATTTTTTTTTTCTTTTTGATGCAGTTGTGAATAGAATTGTTTTTCTGATTTCTCTTTCTGCTAGTTCATTGTTAATGTATAGGAATGTAACAAATTTCTGTGTATTAATTTTGTATCCTGCAACTTTGCTGAATTCAGATATTAGATCTAGTAGTTTTGGAGTGGATTCTTTAGGATTTTGGTGTACAATATCATGTCATATGCAAACAGTGACAGCTTAACTTCTTCTTTACCAATCTGGATGCCTTTTATTTCTTTGTATTGTCTGATTGCCATGGCTAGAACTCCAGAACTATGAAAGTGGAGAGAGTGGGCATCCTTGTTTTGTTCCCAATCTTAAAGGAAAGGCTTTTGGCTTCTCACTGTTAAGTATGATGTTGGCTGTGGGTTTGTTATATATGGCCTTTATTATGTGAGGTGCTTGCCCTCAATACCCATTTTGTTGAGAGTTTTTATCATGAATAGATGTTGAATTTTGTCAAATGCTTTTTCAGCATCTATTGAGATGATCATGTGACTTTTGTCCTTCTTTTTCTTGATATTGTGGATGATGTTGATTGATTTTTGAATATTGTACCATCCTTGTGTCCCTGGAATAAATTCCACTTGATCATGATGGATGATTTCTTTGATGTATTTTTTAATTTGGTTTGCTAATATTGTTGAGGATTGTTGCATTTATGTTCATCAGGGATATTGGTCTATAATTTTCTCTTTTTGTAGTGTCTTTGGCTGGTTTTGGTATTGGAGTGATGCTGGCCTCAGAATGAGTTTGGAAGTATTCCCTTGTCTTCTACTTTTTGGAAAAACTTTAAGGAGGATGGGTATTAGGTCTTCACTAAATGTTAGATAAAATTTAGTGATAAAGCCATCTGGTCCAGGAGTTTTGTTCTTAGGTAGTTTTTTTTTTTCGATTTCATTGCTGGTAATTGGATTTTCTATTTCTTCTGGGTCAGTTTTGGAAGGTTGTATTTTTGTAGAAAGTTGTCCATTTCTTCTAGGTTATCCAATTTGTTGCCATATAATTTTTCATAGTATTCTCTAATAATTATTTGTATTTCTGTGGCTTCTGTAGGCATTATTTATATTTTTATGTATGTTATGATGTGTACTTTTCTAGGAAAAGAGTCTATAGCTTCCATCTGCATCTCAGAGTTATCCTTGACCCCTAAGAAATGTGAAGAAGCAATGTTCTATGGAGACAGGTGATTTATGGTAAAACCTATGTATTTCCTTTAATAGATTTAATTTATGTGTACAGGAGCTGGTGCTGTTTACAACTTTGCCATACTGTGATTTTTATTGCATCCATAAAGACTCAAACTTGTGCTAATCAGTTGGCCTATAAAAATAGACTGAACCATGTGTAAGGTGTTACAAGCATGCTTTATGAGCAGTTGCTGTGAATATTTTGGGGTGTGCGTACTAGAGAGGATATGGATTTATTGCTGTGAGAGAATTTTTTTTTCCATGTTGAAGGAAGACTCAAATCTGCTGCCAGGAGTAGATTCTTTTTGATTAGTTAGGCCACTGATTCAATACAGCACATAATTTAAATCTGTGCCTCAGGGTGTTTTGCAGTTAGCAAAACCATGACTGTTCAATCAACAGATGCCAAGTGACGTAAGCCATGCAATCTGCGTAAATTCAATTCATTGTAGAAAAGGCTCATTGCAACATAGCTGGCCCAAAATGTGGAGATAGTTACAATAAGACCAAATGGCAGAAGGGCGACCACTGTGAAACTTGGCAAGTGTCTCATGATTTGCATTAGTAATGGCTCTCCCTATATCATAAAATAATTCAAATAAAATACAAAAAAACCACACATCCAACTATCTATATGTTTGGACTACATGTTACCCAGTATCTGGTTATTTCCAAATACGAGATGTTTGGCATGATTAAATGTTATGGACTGAATATGTGTGTCCCTCCAAAATTCATATATTAAAATCTATTTCCCCAGTGTCCTAACATTAGGGGTGGTGAGACCTTTCAGAGATAATTAGGTTATATGGGTAGAGCCCTCATCAATGGGATTAGAGCCCTTATAAAAAAGATGTCAGAGTCCCCCTTACCCCTCTGCCATGTAAGGTCCAGTTAGAAGATGAACATCTAAGAACCAGGAAGCAGACCCTTAATGGACACTAAATCTGCCAGGGCCTTGATCTTGGAATTTCTAGTCCCCAGACTGTGAGAAATACATTTCTGTTGTTTGCAAGCCACCCAGTCTTTGGTATGTTATTATTATAGTAGCCCAAGTGGACTAAGACACTAGATATAGAGTCATTTAAGTCTCAAGCATACAGTTGGTTTCCACATATCCCCTGCCACTTCTAGCTCCAAAGTCCTCTAGCCAAAGCTGTATTTAACAACTGTGTATTGCTTAAGGTGCTGCAAGAACGTGAAAAAGACTCCCCTGATCTAATGATAACTTCCAACGTGAATCTATCTTAGTTTTCCCCTTCCTCCTTTCCTAATTTAACAAAACAATTCCAAATATAATGAACCTTTACATTTTAAAATCCAAAATGAAGAGCGTAGGGGAAAGGCACTTACTGCTCCTTGAGAAGTCTGTTAAGCTTACCTGTATGGGAGGGATGTAGGTCATCAAATACTGAAATTGTCATTTCATAGATATGTCCAGCTGCAACTGTCTCTGGGTTTTCATAATCCAATTCTTGGGCAACCTTGTAGAACATTATTTCAAGAAAAATGGCCGACTTTTAAAAAATGTACATTCTAGAAAAGGCAAGTGTAAGACTATTTTCATTTAACAAAGATGGCATTCAAATAAGCCTGAGACTGGCTAAAGGCTAATGCACAAAAGTCAGTATTTTGGTGGAACAAAAGGACATCTTTGATCTTATTTCAGAGCAGTTTATTTTGGGACAAAGTATCCTGGCATAGTGGAAGAAAAGCGTGCTGGGTCATATGCTGTCTTCATTGCATGCTAATTTCGTAATCTTAGGTGAAATATTTAAAAAGAGAAAACTTTATACAAGTACTTTGTAAATGAAAAAGCATTATAACGAATATAGTTCTTGCTATTATGACAAGTCACTCACCATTTTTAAAATATTTATTAAGTACTAGTTAAGTGCCAGGTACAGTTGTAGGGATGAGGGATATTGTAATAAGCAAGATGATCCCATAGCAAAGACTTGAAGACATTCTTCATTTAATAGTATTGGTGCAAATTGCAGTGGGCATTAACTGGAATGGATCAGTATGACATCAAGTACTCAGGTGCTTGAGAAAAACATTTTTAAAATTTAGCATCTCATTTATTCACTCATTAAGATATATTGAGTACCCACTATGCATGAAGGACTGTAGGAGGTGTTGGTACACAAAAATGAATCACTCAGAACTTTATGTAAAGCTGTAGTCTAATGAGAAAAGACCAAGAATCAAATAGGTAGTAACGGAATGTAAAGAGTGTTTGGACAGGGGAGGTAGAACTTATAAGGGGAGCTCAAAGCATGGAGAACTAAGCCAGTTATGATAGTAAAAGAAAGCTGGTAGGAAGAAGTGGCATTTAAGACCTAAAGGAAAATCATGAAAATGTAGAAATTAGAGGTGGGTGATGGGTGGAGGGAGTTAATTCAGAAATAGAGCAAGCATATGTGAAAGCCCAAATGTTAATTAGCATCATGTTTATAAAACTTCCATCTTTATCCAAACTCCATTTAAAAAAATGACAATTTGGCATTGACTTACAAAATGAACATCAACCCAGGAAACCTCTTAGCTCAGTGCCTGTGCTTCCAAAATTCACAACATATGCAAAACCTCAGTTTGTAGCTTATGGAATTTATCAATAAAACGTAGGGTTTGGACCAAAGAAAGAGAGAGGTCATCAGTGGCTTTCTCAATCATATCTTCTGGCAAATGGGGGGTGTTTGGTGATGTCTGAGTTAAGGAACAATCTTACCAATCTTTCAGGGACTGATGATTTGAAATAAACACCTATGGAAATTAGGAGTTGGAAGGCTTTCTTTCAAGACCAAATCCCTGTTGGAAGGCAAAACAAAAACTTACTGTGTCCATCTCCTGTCAATGTAAAGTTTATAATCCCAAGAGGGTGAAGAGAGGGGTTGCTGATCTACAACTCCCAATGCCAGGAGAATAAGCTATCTCAACACATGTAGTCAAACAGACTTATCTGTGAGGAAATCAGCATGATTTTTAGCCTCTGATTCATTTCCACAGCTAAACAGGGAGCCAGGTACTTTGTGCTCATTATAAGAAGGAGAAAATGAAGGGTGGCAGCAAGATAATGAAGGACTTGTCCAAATGCTTCCATTCCATTAAGACAGCAGAGGAGATGAGCCTCCTTCCTCTTAGCTGTGTCAGAGTTCCTCATGCTGAATCCACCCATACTATCTCAACCATGGCCATGAAGTGACTCCCTCTCCTTGAGAAAAATTCCTGGAGATAGAGCAACTGGCACTCACCTGGATGGAATTTTCAGCATTTGGCACTTGCTCAAAGAGTTGTCCAGAACCAATTGGCCCGGAGCTTGGAGCATACTGGATTGTATCAGGAGGCTCATCAAGGTCATGACACAAGAGTTTTGCAACTATTGTATCTTTTGTAATAATTTCTTTTTCTGTGTACCTGTTTTATATTTCAAGAAGAAAAAGCAACTTAAATGGGTAATCTTTTAAGTTGTAATGCTTTCTTATAAATATCCACTAGTTTGGATAATGCAGGTGTGGCTGCCCTATTGATCCTGGGGCAGTTAGCCTAGCTTTGGAGCATAATCTGGTAAACCATTTCCCAAAAGGTGCCATGATTTTGGTACGAAGTTCCTCATTTTCTGGGACTATTGTTTGGAAGTCTATCATGGGCATCAATCCAATGGAGAAGGTCTAAGGGGAATGAGATAGTTATCTGAGATTGTTCCATCTAGAACATCTGGATAGGGTGGTGAAGAAGGATAAACCTTACCATTCTATAGTCATAGTGGACTTACTTCCAGCTTACTTTTAGCAGGTCACTTCTGAGGACCAGAACATGAGACTAATCAAAGCCAATGCAATGATCAACCACATATCCAGATGAACCAATAAATCTGCTCTCCACTTACTCTGAATTCTTAACCCTCCCCACCCATCTCTGCTCACCTTATCAGATACTGATCACAGAAAGGTGAGTTGTCGTTAATGCCATGGATATAAACCATCACTGGAATTACTGCACACCGCTGGTCATTGTCACATGCCTTAATGGAGAAGGACTGAGCACGTGCAAACCCAGCTCTCTCTACATCAAGGCGGGCAGCAGTAACCATGGTCCCATGCTCTGTAACAAAACAGCACATCTTGCTGCAAACTGGTCCACGGTGTTATTTCAAAATCATCTTATTATATTGTGATGGAAAAGATAAAATGATTTTTGCCACATTCATTAGAATTAAGAAATAGATTAAAAATGTAGGCGCCGTATTTAATTATTTGTTCACCATGATACCTTCATTAATCATATTAGCTAGTAGCAAAAACAAAGTTGTTCTTGACTTAGGGGAACCGAGAACACTTTCTAGAAGAGGAGGCCTTAATTTTAGGGTTTGAAGGATATGTACAATAAGGAAATGGTGGTGAGTGGTGAGTGGGAGTGGATGATTCTCAGCAGAGAGTACATCATACATGAACACACAGTAAGGAGGTCATGACTCACTATACTTTCCTTCTAATCCATCCACCCATTCGTTGAACACACATTTATTGAGTGCCAACTATGTGCCAAGAACTGTGCTGAGTATGCTATATTCCACAATTAAGTCCCTGCCTTTATGGCATTCACAATCTGGGCTGGGAGACAAACACTAAACAAATGAAAAAAAGAGAAAAATTCAAGTAGACATATTAGTAAGGAAATGAAAATTGACATGATAGAAATAATGTCTAATGGGCAGGTTCTGAAAAATGCAAGGACAGAGGCCTGAGCCCAGCAGCCTAGTCATATGCCTGCAGTGTCATAAACAAGAGGAGACAAGGAACAGAATGAGGTTGGAGAGACGAAAAGGACCAGAGAAAACAGGGTCTTGGGAACGAGGTAAGAAGTCTGGATTGTATTCCAAGTGCAAAGGAAAATCACAGGAGGATTTTACAAGGGGAGGGGATGGCATCCAATTTGACCTTTTTAAAAATTCATTCTAGCTGCTCTAAAGAGACTGTTGGAAGGGATAAAAGTTCAGTAAGAGATCAAGCAGTAATTCAGATACAAGGGAACAGTGGCTGTCTTGATTTGTGCTCCCCTAGAAGCAGAAGGTGAGATGAGGATTTGAGTGCAAGTGGTTTATTTGGGACAGCATGACATGGGGGAAGTGAGACACAGAAGAGAAGTGTGCCACTGAAGAGTACATTTTCAGGCACAGGTTACCACTGTGGGCAACTAGAGCTTAATACTACTGGGGAACTCTGGAAGCCAGTACAAAACATACACTCAAAATTGTCCTACACCAGTGCAAGGAGCTGGAGTATTTATACACCAGCTCTCCAGCCATTGGTTAAGAGTTTGTAGGTGTGGGTAATATTTTTCCAACACTTCAATCTGCCCAGTGTGTGGGAGGGGCGAGGGCGATGTCAGACCCCAAATAATCCCTCAAGCAATGTACTAGCAGTTTAAAGTCGTGCCGCTAAATGTTAAGGGCTGAGGACATGTGAGTGGAACATTGATAGCCTCTGCTACAATGCTGTACTGAAGATGACCACCTTTCTTCTCAGCCAAGGAAGAAGCCTTACATACCACATAGTCTAATCCACTCCCAGCTTCAGACACAGCTGATTGGAAGAGAAATGAATAACTGACTCTAGAAAGTCATTGAATTCTCTCTCACACAGATTTGGACCTGAAGCAGAGAGAAGAGTGATTTAGATCTAAGATGAGCCAGAAGGTCAGGTAGAGCACAGAACCAAGGTAGTCATTTTGTAGCAGCCGGGAAGAGTCACATGTTAGCTCATGTGTGAACAAAGAAGTGAGTCTTGTGGAGATTTATTCAACAGATATTTATCAAGCATCTGCTTTGTGGTTCTTGTAAGGGCTCTGAGAGTGAAGACAATCCAACATCTGCCATCAGGAAACTCAGTCTTGCACAGAAGACAATATAAACAGATGGTCTCAGTAGCACAGACTAAGATTTAATTTGCTGAGAACAATTCTCAACCTACCTTTGTCAACTGCGAAGTAAACATTCCATGGATCTAGTTCAAAGATTAAATCTCCCAAGTTATCTTCATCGGTTGCCTGGCATACGCCAATCGTTTCCCCAACTGGAATTTCTTCATCTAGTGTGATGTCAACTTTATCGTGCAGAGTTGAGTTTATAGAAGTAACACTTGTGACAGCATTTTCAATATTGAGTAAACTTGTTTTAAAAGAAAAGACTATTAAAGTGGCATTTGCTCAGTGTGTATTCTTTTCTACCCCTTGTGGTGGAGGGGTAGGGGGCTAGAAGTAGAAATGATGAACGTGGACTATGGCAACAATGCTAATAGCTAACCCATTTATTGGGCACTTGTTTATAGTTGAGACACATTGCTAAGAAGTTTTCACACTTTTTGTCATTTATTCCTCACAGCAGTTATAAAAAGTAGGTACCTTTTCTGTTTCCATTTTACAGATAATTTTTAAGAAAGTAAGTAACTTACAGAAGTAAATATCAGTAGCTCCGAGAAGATGTGGCCCTGATCCTATCTGGCTCTAGAGCCTCTATACTTAACCACTGTCCTCTTATCTCCTGTTTTAAGAACCGGTTTCTTAAAATTGCCACCCGCCAATATAACTTTATAAACTACCTGGTAATAATTTTAACCAGAATTTTCCTTGAGAGTAATGATAGATAATCCAGCCCAATCAGACACTAAGAATATATTGTACTAATAATATCTTATTCTATTGCAATTTTAATACATTTTGTACTTTAAAACTATACTTTGCATTCAGTTTTTAAGAAAGCCTTTCCTTTGAAATTTTGCATCTTTAAGTGATTGTTTAGATCTTGTTTATCTTCTCTTCAAAAAAGAAGGAAAAAAAAAGAAAACCACTCCATTCTAATGGAAATTTTGCTAATTAATTTCAGAGACTATATTTTCATATTCAATTTTCAATGTCAAATAAAAGAATAGGTTTTATTCCCTTACCTGCAGGTAAGAATAGGGTCCTTGTTGTTGACATTGATGAGGAAAATCTTTAGATTTCCAGCAGTAAACAGACCTCCAGGATCAACCACTTTAATAACTAGTGAGAAACTGGGCATACAGCCACAGGACAGACAGCTAAGATTTTATAGTAACAAGACAGACAAGAAACTTAGAAAAGTCTGTTAATCCCCAACAGTAATAAAAAAACAAAGGGAATTCCTTAGCATGGTAGAGTAGACAAAGCCATGGCTATAGGTTCCTGCACTTAAACATTGACTTTCAATATTGAACACGATTAAAAAATGCAAAAGAGAAGATACAAGAACACCTCAAAACAACTTAATGATTATGGGGACATAGCATGGTGGTTAGTGATTAAAGCATTTTTATTTTAGCAGAGGTTTTTATGGTTTGAAGAATGAGAGTGCTTGAAATGGGGAAGGTGAATGTATCCTAATAGAAAGATGAATGTGTGTGTCCGTCAACAGTGATCCAGAGTCATTAACCATCCTGATTTGCCCAGTACTGTTTGGTTTAGCACTGAAATTCCCTTGTACAACCTGAGAAACTTCTCAGTCCCTGACAAGCCAGGGCAGTTGATCACACTTTCAGAAAAAAAAAGAATTGTATCTTACCTTGAAATGTATTCACAATTGAGAAGAAAATTTATCCTAAAAAAAAACCTGTTCTCAATTTTCTCCTTATTTCCTAATTTTTCCTACAAGAAGATGGTTATTTATGAGGGAACTCTTGACAAAAATCATAAAGCCAATCCACTTTTAAGAATAAGATGTCTGTTTAATAAATCTGGGAAGTATTAGCTACAAGAATTGAAGGAATAAGGTGTGCACAGGATCCCACAGCCAGAAACACACCAATGAACATTTGGTCTAGCTGTGCTGCTAGAGCTGACTGCAGAAAAGTTGGGAAAAGTAAGGCTTTCTAACTTTCATCAGGATTTGAATAAGCAATTTCAAACAGCCCCTCTATCTCATTTGAAGGGAGGGAATTGATAAGAATCAATGAAGCATCCACACATATGCCTTTTTTCTTACTGAAAGGTCTGCTCAGTGACCCTAGGTACTCTGAAGTTAAGAAGAAAATGAAGGAATGGTGTGCTCTCCATAGAATGTTACTGAGAAGCCATTGCTCAACTTTAGCCAAATAATTATTTATTCAAATTCTACAAAGACCTTCAGTTTTTCACTATCCGAGCCCCTGATTGCAAAGATACTGAAAGAAGGGAAAGCTTTAGTTTTTAGTTATCAAGAAAAAAGTTAATTTTAAAAAACTCCATTAATAACTTTTACCCCCATTTGTTAAAAAAATCTTGTGATTTATAAATATCTTGGAATGTGCACATTTTTCTATGAGGTATACCAGGCCAAAATAAAAGGAAATTATGATGGGCATTCTCAGTTATTCCTAGAGCTATTTATGAGATTGGGTATACACAGGGCACAGGAATTTGGGAGTAAGAGAAAATGGATAAAGATTTTGGCAATTTTTCTACCCCAAAATATATAAAGGTAATACAAATTTCAGAATGCTCTTCTATAGGAAATAAGCAGGAGAAAGCACATCCCATTTTTGAATCCTGAATCTTTTTTACTGAAGATGCTAACATTTAGGATATATCCCATTCTCAATTTTAATAATCGGGAAGAATCTCATGAGACTCAGGAGCAAGCTGATTGGAATGGCTTAAAGCTCCATTTCCTTTTCCTGTAAAGCACTTTGATGCAGAACATATGACTGAGAAGGGTGGTCATAAAAGCTGTTATAAAAATAGAAATAATAACTATGAACCAATGGCTACTGATATGGCAGATGTGGAGGAAATAAGAGAAAATGTTAGTCCATTAACTTTTCAAAGGTGCTGAATTACACTGTGAATGATTCTGCGCCCCAGCCATGCAGAGAGCAGTCCCCACCCATTTCCACCACAGGTTGCAGGCACCACCACTAAAATTATCTGGATGCTTGGCTCTGAAGAAATTGACAGGATGCAGAGAAGCCAAAATAGCCACATCTAAACTAGCAATGGTGCAATAATAGTTGAGGTGATAATTTACTATTTAAAGCAATGCCAAAAGCATCTCCATTACAAATTAAGGCCGGATGGGGGGACTACTCTTGAAGAGGGAAAAATGAGCCAAAGGACAGGCATTCCAAATGAATGAAATGCCAGTAGCAGTATTTACCTTCTAGCTTTGCTCTCAAAATCAAAAACTGTTGCTGTAGAAATTGTTCCAGTGCTGTCGATTGTGAAGCCAGAGTCCTCTGGGGATAGGATGTACTGTTCATTGGATAGTAAAGAGAAAGCAAAATCTTACAAATTGGTTCACTAGTGAGATTGTGTGTGCCTCCAAGAATCAGACTGAAACCTCTCTGTACTCCGGGCCACCCCCTTCTGTCCCACCCCTCATTTAGTAGGTGCTCATTAACTGTTTTCCAATAATGGTGAAGATGATGAAATTACATTTCATTCAACTTACTTTAGGCCAAAAATCTGCTCAGAAATATGAAAAATGGATTTTCTTAATATCTTAACATTCAATATGTTATCTGAACATCTTTCACTAACGACACTCCAGCCAAAGCTAAAATTAAATAAAAAGGAATTACATTGAGAGAAAAATGCTGCTCTTTAATGAGAACTCAGATTATTCTATTTGTTTGCTGATGCTGCAGATATGCTTTCTTGGGTGAGTGGGGGACAAGGAGCTGTAGAAGGGAAAACTGAAATACTGGGACATATGTTCATCTCATGTGCACAGGTACAGGCAATACTTTATCTGGTTGTTTTTCTTAGCATCTTACTGACTTTAATTCATACTGTCTTCCAGTTATTCTGTTCAATGTTTTAAACACATTGTCTTTTAATTTCCACACCAGCTTTGTTTGTAGGTTACTGATACGATGCGTTTCACAGATAGGAACACTAAGGCTTAAAAAATTCAAGGGGCTTGCTCCCAGTCTGAGAGCTGAGTGTTTAGTCACATAACGCCTCTCTGCACACCAGGTCCCTGAGGAAGTCAAGGTTTCTAAACTAGGTGAGAATCAAATGATTAGAAAAAAGCTGGGGTGAAATCCATGAAAGGATTAATATCAGGAGTTAATTACACTGAATGCTACTGACTTGATAATTATGTAGACCCAGAGATAATTTAATAGAGAAGATTAAACCCAGAAGGATTGCAAAGCAGCTTAAAAATCATTGGGAGAAATTAGTGACCTTTTAATCTATCAATTTTCTGATGAATCATCATGTTCTGATTAGTTTAAATTCATACCATCCATTTCTATACTTATAACTAAGGTGGAATTGATTTCTGCTTTTCCTGTAGAACAGTGCTGTAGAATATTAGCATCCAGGAACTGCAGGAAAATCCTTCACATAGTTACTTTTAGAATGAACAGAATTAATGATGCCTGTTTCATGGTGGAAGGGCAGAGGGTGGTTGGTAGTTACATTCCCTGCAAGTGTTCATAGGCACTAGGTCTGGTTATATATAAATATATATGATTTTTTTAGAAAGACACCCACATTTATGTTTGTAGCCATTTGAGAATTTGCAGTTCCCAGTTCAATTTCAGTATTACATACTTGTCAGTAATTGTTTGGATAACAACATATATTGTGAGGCTGTATTTTTATGAAGCTTAATTTTTCATGAAATGAGATAGAGTTTTAAAAAAATTGATGGCACTGATATGAACAACTCCTGCCGTTGTTCAGGGAAGGCTGGAGCTGGTGGTTGCTAGGCAGCCAGGGCCATCACTGGGAAAGCCACCTAAATGAATGATCCACTGAACAGGAAGGCAGTCCAAGGGATGAGAAATTAATTCTCTGTGGGGCCAGGCAACTTAGATTCATTTCCTCCCACCCCCCACCGTTTTATCTGTAATAACACTATTAACTAACAGAAATATCTTGGCCATAAGAATAACAACGGTAGCCCTGCTTCCAGGGGCAGAGAGAGGGATGACAACAGCCTACAGGGGAGAATGTATGGTGAAGGGATCCTCCGGTCCTTCTGAATGGAATTATCTTCAAAATTCAGTTTATTCCCCTCTCTGGAAGCCTTGCTCATAACTTACTTGCTCTCAGAGAAGCATGAGAATTGGAAATGTCAGAGCCCAAACTGGAGGCTAAACCCATGGGGAGAAGTAGGGCCTCCATGCTTCACAAGCAGCAACACAAGAACCACAGCTGGATTCTTCAGTGTTCTTAGCATCAGTGATAAAAAAAAAACACACACAAAAGCTGACATGTGATGGCTACCAGTTATTCTGACCCATTCAGTGCTCAGAATTTTTCTTGAACTGTCTCTTTGCATCCTTAAGATGTTGCTATGGGGCCGATACTCTTCTCAGCCCCTTCTTATATACGGAGAAGAAGCTGAGGCTTACAGATGTTAAGGAAATGGTCCGAGAACACATAGCTGGTGCGTGGTTAAGCCCCAAATCACATCCAAGTCTTTCTACTCCAGAGCCATTGTGTTATACTGCCTGTCTTGTGGGAGGCTGTCTTCCTGGAAAAGGGCAATCTATATTTCTATTTTTAAAACATTATGTTTAAACTTTTTAAAAATTGTTTTGGGTGGAAATTAAAGAGTAAGTTGATGAAGACACAGTGAACGAGCAAGTCAGTGTTACTGTTTACAGAGGAAAAGAAAGGAGGGCAAGGAAGGGAAGAGAAGGCTCAATGGAGCTGAGAAACCTTCACCACATGAAGGTCGCAACAGGGGAGGGCGACTCAGAAAAGAAAGTAAGAGTAATTGGAAAGGTAGGAAAAAAACCAAGAGTGCTTATATTCACATATTTATTCATATAATATATACATTATTATTACTCACTATTATAAATAGTAGTACTATCTAATATTTTTGGGTACTGTCTGCCAAGCACTCTTCTAACCCCTTCGCATGTATTGCATCATTTATTCTTCATAATAGTCTTGGGGTGAACACTATTATTAACCCCCACATACAATTAAACTGAGGCACAAAGAGGTTAGGACACATGCCCAAGGTCACAAAGCCAGAAGGTAAATTTTAAGCTCAATCTCTGGCATTGGAATCTGAGTGCTTGTGTTGCTATGCTGTATTCCTAATTTCATAGTTTGACCCAAGATAAAATTTTTTATAGAAGTATGATCTGGGCTAATTTTTTTTTCTGTGTAACAAGGTATTCTGTGATTCTTTTAAGCACAAATATTGGCTAATCACTGATCATCTACAAAAACTTATATAGGAGAGATACTTTTCAAGAAAATTATTTTCAGACTATAAACACAGATATGATTCTAGGCTCAGTATTATGTTAGTCCTAAGGCTATGCAGAAAATAATAGTACCTCAACCTCAGTATTTTCTTCAGCAGAAGCATGAGGGGACTCATGCTTGCATCATACATTCTTTCATACATTCCCATCACGTGGGTTCTCTGCATGATTTAAAGCACGTTTTGTCTAGATGCTCCTGCAGCCTGGGGCCTTCGGTTTTGGTATCTGTCTTAGGGGTTCTCTAGAAACAGATCATGAAAGGGAAATCTGTGTTCAAGTGATTTATTAAGTGCTCAAGGAAAACTGGGATGAAAGTGGGGAATCAGGACAGAAAAGGGGAGGAAGCCAAGCAAAACTGCCTCCTCAAAGTCCAACAGAGGCCATTCAGCCTGATGAATCTTCTGCCTCGCAGCTGTCCCCACCCAAGGAAAAGAAGATGGGGCTTACCTACTCCTCACCCCTTATACAGTGGTTAAGGGCTACCACAGGGACATGTAAATTTCCAGGTGCTTCCTGCCTTTGAAACACAAGAAAAGTCCAAAGACAGCCCTCCTCTTGCTGAAGGAAGTAAAAGCACATTGAAGTTGTCAGGAATACCACGTAGAAATGGTACAAAGGTATCCTAGGGGATCTGGGAAAAGTGTGGCTGTTATCTACTGCAGTCTCTCAAACTTCCTTCCTGATAGCAAATGAAACTATTATTTGCATCATGCTAGGAAGCATGTTAGTTACCACATTAAGAAGCCAGTCCCCTTATATGTGCGTAACATTTAATTCTGTCCTGAATTCTATGGTAACTCTGATAGCAAATAGGCTTCACTTCAACTCTGAATTGTTTAGTACTGTCTGCCTGGCACAGTTTTGAGAGAGGCTGTGAGCTCTGGATGGAAAGGTGCCATGTTCGATTAGGGATGCCTGTCACTAGCAACAGAGAAAGCGAGCATAGTTCTGATAGAGAACTTTGAAGTATAAGGTATGAAAAGTAAAAAACTCTAGAGATAGAGATATCTCAGAAATAAAAGGGTTATTGAGCCTTTGCAGATGCAGCCAGAAAAAAGACCAAGTCCTGGGACAGGCAGTTTCTGCTTCACCAACAGCAAGGCCAGTTAACAGAAACAAGTCTGTCCACCAGACTCAAGAAACAGGACACATTTATGAAAGGTCTGAAGGAACGAAAGTTATTTAAATTTAATTGTCTATAGATAAGGGAGGCGGGCTAAGGAAAAACAGGGGAAGTCCAGGGTGGGTGGTTAGTCCATAGAGAAGGTTCCTGGGTGGTTGTTGGGTGATGGTCAGGGACTGTTCACACACAGGAGGGGTTTGCCAGTTCTGGGGACCTTCTAGATAATTGCTGGAATGCTTTCATACCAGAATATGGAGTCTCCAGTTAGCTACAGCCTGCAGCTGTTGACTAATTACCTTCCCTTTCTTTCTGCCCCATTCTCTGGCCCTTATGTCACTCAATTTTAGTACTCAGAATTTTTCCTTATCAGGTACTACTAGAATGCCTGGGGTATTCTTAAAAAATATTAATGTTTGGGCCCCACCTTCAGAGATTCCAACTTAAGAAATCAGGGCGCTAAGGAAGGGCTCTGGCATCTGTGTTTTGTTAAAAGCATCTTATGTGATTCCATTATTGCAGCAAAGGTAAAGAACCACATTAATACCCAGTATCAATCATCATGCTATTTCCTAGTTGCCCAATAAATGTTTTCAGGAATACCTTAAAATAATGAAATTAATCCTCCAAAAAACCAATACTTTATTTATAATTCCTTTCTTAGTCTCATAAAAATGCCTTTTTGTCTTTCTGGACCTTCACCTAGAGTTGCCTTTGAATAGGCTAGGCATTGCCAAATCTTCATTTGCCTTCTACGATAGATTGAAATCCTTGATTTCTATGCACATGTTCTTCAAACAATTACACTTGAATATGCATGTCTTTGTAAAATGATAAATTTACCTATATGAAATATTGTTGGGATCTATGCATTTGTAATTTTTAAGGCA